AGTTTCTCCTTTCTCAGGACTATTTTGAGAAAAAGAGTGTAATCTTATTTATCGTGGAAGAAGATACTTTAGTCCAAACATTCACCCCACAAGTTGTTGAGGAATGCAAGCCTAAAGTTGGGCAAGAGTTTGAAACAATTGAAGGTGCATATGAGTTTTATAACACGTACGCAAGAGACGTTGGATTTAGTGCTAGATTGTTTAACAGTAAGAAGAGGCCAGGCACTAACGAACTTATTTGGAAACAATTTGTTTGCTACAAAGAAGGAGAAACTGATGATACATATCAAAAAAAGTATAAACACGCAGTTGAACGGAAAGGTGAAAGACAACGAGGCATCATTCGGGTGGGTTGCAAGGCTAAACTAACTGTGACGAGACCAAAATCTTCTGTAAATTGGATTGTTAGTAGCTTTGTGGAGTCTCATAATCATGCACTTACAACTCCTAGGAGAGTTCACTTACTAAGATCTCATCGCCATGTTTCAAATGCCAAAAAGGCCTTGGTAAAGCAATTCTCTGAAGCAAATATATCAACTAGTCAACAGATAAGTTTGATGGAGATTGGATATGGAGGTCCTCAAAATATAGGATGTACCGAGAGAGATATCAGAAATTATGAAAGAGATCTGAGAGAAGAAATGAAGGGAATTGACGCTGAGTCTTTAATTGAATTATTCACATTAGAGAAAGAAAAAAATTCGGGTTTTTACTTTGATTATGATAGAAATAGTGAAGAAAGATTGGTTAGGTGTTTTTGGGCTGATTCTTGCTCGAAGCGAGCATATAACATTTTTGGTGACGTGGTTATTTTTGATACGACATACAACACAAAAATATGGGATGATTTTTGCTCCACTGACTGGAGTCAACCATCACGGCCAGACAATAATATTTGGATGTGGTTTTTTAAGTGATGAGACAGTAGAGTCATTTATTTGGTTATTCAACAGTTGGTTGACTGCTATGCTGAAGGGTGCACCTCAAATGATCATTACAGACCAAGATCCTGCAATGACAAGAGCAATTGCCGAAGTTCTTCCAAATACTTTTCATCGCTATTGTATATGGCATATTCTAAATAAGTTTTCTGAAAAACTTAATACAATAATTTATCGGGACAACTACCATTTTATAAAGAACATTATTTTACATTCGGAGACTAGTGAAGAGTTTGAAACAAGTTGGATAAATATGTTACAGTCTACGAAATTGATAGATAATGCTTGGCTTCAACAAATATATGAGATGCGTGCCAGATGGGTCCCTGCATTTGTTAAGCATGTTTTTGCAGCAGGAATGTCAAGCAGTCACAGAGCAGAAAGCTCTCATTCATTTCTTAAAAGGTACATTTCGAAAAAAAACTCATTGATGGATTTTATTATACGCTTTAATAGAGCACTTGGGCACCAAAGATATCAAGAGTTGATGGCTAATCACTGTGATATTAATGAAAAACCACGATTGAAGTCCGTGTGGCCAATGGAGGCACAAATGTCGAAGGTTTATACAAGATCAGTTTTTCAAACTTTCCAAGATGAGGTTTTTGAGAGTCAAGCATACATCATACATACATTATGTGAAGATGAATCAAGTGTGACTTATACTACTGAAAGGGTTGATGAAGCTTCTACATCAAGATCTCGAAAACTTATTTATAATAAGTTTTTAGATACTATACATTGTAGTTGTCAACAATTTCAATGTGAAGGAATTCCATGTAGACATATGTTGGCATATTTCAGGATCAAACAAATATTGCAATTGCCAAATCAATATATTCTTCAAAGGTGGACCAAAAGTGCAAAGATTGGTCAAGTTTGGGATAAGGATAATGAAGAACTGCATGACATTCCAAACCAACCATTGATGTTAAGGCATTCTAAACTATCTCGTTTTTCTTCAGTTGTGGTTGATGATGCATCTCTCCCTGGGCAAGGAGCTAATCTCTTGATGAATGGGTTAGAGGATCTTCATAGTAAAAATTGTGGTTGATGATGCATCTCTCACTGGGAAAGGAGCTAATCTCTTGATGAATGGGTTAGAGGATCTTCATAGTAAAATACAGGAAATTAACATCGGCAGTGGTATTCAAAAGGTATTTACTACACAAACAAGTATTGAAGAGAAAGGAAGCATCAATGAACCACTACAAGTAAGAGCAAAGGGGTGTGGAAAAAGACTAAAGAAACCAAAAGAGAATGCAGTGAGTAAAGAGAGAATTTGTCGTAGATGTGGACTTTGTGGCCAATTACACGATAAGCGAAATTGTCCAACATTACTTGAAAGGTATTGTATATTTGTCATATCATTTTGGTGGAGAATTCATTATTTTCATCATTAATGTTAATGCAATTATTTTTCAGATCCTCTGGTTCCAAATGACGAATTTCAAGATGATTTACCTTTTGCAATATTTCATGTAAGTTATTGGATTTGAATGTTTGTAATAAATTATTTATGAGTACAATGATTTGAATTTCGATTTTGTAATACTCATACTTGTCTCCTAGTTGCTAATTATCAATATTGCAGGGCAGAACAAAGGGATGAATCAAGTGATCAAATGACAAACCCAAACAATAATGTGGAGAATTGGCTCTCTTTTAGTGGCAAGATAGATGGATAAAGCAAGATAGTGGCAATACAGATTGCATTTTTGAATTTTTTAGAGGATTGTTATTGATTAAAAAATGCTTGTTATTGATTTTTAATACTCAACAAATTGTACCCACTCATTCTCTGTTGAATCTGATTACTTAAAAATTTTACTTAACACCTATACCATGTTACGATTTCTGTACAACTTGATCATTTCATATGTACCCATTGTGTTCAATTATTAACACAAACATTCAAAATATTAATCAAGTCCATGTATAAGTAAAATATGGCTGCGACCATGTACCAAAACTAAACCAATCCAATTTTTGTTACGATAATCAACAAATTAACACAAAATAGAAAGAATAGAAAGCGATGCAAGTACAAGATTTGTGACGTCTAGAAATGGCAACAACGAAGCATCACTCTTGAATCCAAGTGTTTGGAACAAGACTGGTGCATAAAAACAAAATGGCATTAATCCCTGTGAATTGCTGGAAGACTTGCAGAGAAATGGCAATGATTAGAGGTGGCATGCTTTCACGTTTGAAGAGTTTGTTGAATGGTTTCTGGGCATTTTTGGCTTGTTTGCAGGCTCGAATGATTGTTGAAATTCTGTATCGACGTTGTCGACACCCCTGATCTTCTTAAATGCCGCTTTTCCTCATTCTCGTGCAAGTACAAGATTTGCGACGTCTAGAAAACTTGGTCGCATTTGGAATTCTCGAAGTAAACTAATCAAAATTCGAAGCATAAATAGAAAATCAGATAGAACCCTTCAACACTTGTCTAAGGAAATAAAAAACACAGAACAATGGTTGTGAATGTCTATTGCAGTTTGTGAACAATTCATATTCTAGTTTCGATCTCTATTTTCGACTTATTGCTAATTCTCATATTCTTGAAATACTAAAATTGGGGAACACATTGATTTGGTTAATAAGAATGGTGGATATGAACTGATGGGAAAAATGGTGAAAGAATTGAGGAAA